GAATTCATGGACCATTGGATCGGGTCCCAGTGGCTCAATGGTATACGGGCTCGCCTTGTAACCAGAAGGTCCTGGGTTCGAACTTCAGTGGGTGCGTACTGATGAAGAGTCCCAGACTAGTGTGACGAAACAGCTGTCCAGTACTCCCAGGTTTTCCAATGGTTCTTTAACTAATGTCAGCTCATGATGAAAATCCTGAAACATATCCAAAAATTACTCAGAATCCTTAATATTTAATACTGTCTAGCCTGGTGTAACTGTTAACATTACTTTCATCTTTACAGTATCTGGGGATTCTGATTTATAATAGCCTATCATTTCGACAGGAATACTTTCCATCACATTGTGTACGTTGTTGGTTCAGCGGTAAGATACTCGTCAACCATGCAAGTGGTTCGGGTTTCAGTCTCTGCCCGATACACCCCCAAACCTCGCTTAGACGGTGGTAATCCCGTTAAAGATGGACGGTTGAGCGTGAGGCCAAAAACCCTACCCCGTAGAAATAAAACTAGCGCTACCGAAACTTCAAAATCTCCAGCGTGAAGCACTATGTTCCATTTGGAACACAAAGGAATAAAATAACATACATACTTACTTTACTTTACTTCGGCTATCTCCTACGAGAGGGTGAGCCGACTTCATGAACATCTCGAAACATCGCTGCCCAGGTGCGGTGATCCGACACAAGGTTTTGCGACAGGGTTATCCAATTCTTGTTCCACAGACGGAGTCCGTAGACGGTTTGTAGCCCCAGGCAATCCATATCAGCCTTGACTGTACCTCGTTTGTAAGAGAGTTCATGAAGTTTCATGGGAATTTGGTACGAGTGATATCCCCAGAATCGCTCGGCCTTTTGTTTGAGAGTGCAGCTCTAGCCTTTACACAACCAAGTGTGACCTACAAGGCAGTCGGAGTGGGGTAGGGAGTCCACTATCCATTGGCAGCCGGTGACCGGAGTTCGGTTCATACGCCTTTTTGAATGGGGCCAGACATCCAGGACATCCAACAAGCCCTTTGTCCATACGTCTGCCGGTGAGCTCCAGTGAGCTTCATACTCCAGTCGTTGGAGGTTTGGAATCAGGGTTTAGCCATCTCCCCTAGACTGTCATCCAATGGACAGTCAATCCGGTGAAGAGCGCCGGGCATCCGCTTTCGCCCTCTCACTTTGGTGAAGAACACCTCCGCCACGTGAAGGCAGTGAGTAGGACTTCCTCAGGAGAGGCTATGTAAGACGCCCGGTCATATGGGAGCATTTCAAGAGGTGTGCGGAGGAGTGGCCAACCCGCAGCGCAAGGCACTCACCCTCGACCATCCTATCTCATTGTAAGTTATACCATTTGAAATGGTTTAGATTGTGAACTGTTGAGACTAATAATGAGCTGAGTATTTATCTGCTACACTGATTGCTCTAGCATTACTCAAGTTTATCATTGGGACGAGGTTTCTTCACGAGTTCCGTGAAACAGTCTTGCAGTTACCACCCAGCTAGCTGTACTTGTTATGCACGAATCAATTTAGACCATTAGAATATTTTCAAACATGATATGTCAAAATATGTCAGCACATCCATCAGCATTCAGTAAAACAAACTCATATTCTTCACTGGTTAAATAAAATACTGGGTGTGAAAACTTTTTTTTATAGAGCTTATTCCAAGCGAATATAGTTCCGAGAAAGTACACTAAAAAGCATATCAACTGCAAAGCTTTCAACTGCAGTGCATCTTTATATAAGGCAAATCAATGCCTCTTTTGTGTCAGTTCCATACAATAGAAATGGAAACTCGATAACTACTCGCATATATATGAGGTCAACTGTTCAGCAAATATTTTGAAATGGGAATTAAACATACTTTCGACATTTTTTTTTAATTAAAACGTCAGATATTCTTTGATACACCCAACATTTGGTTTTTAGAAAAAATGTTTACATATTGTTTTTCACGACATACCCTAGTTACGTAACTACCTTGTGTTATTAATCACTTCTACAAGAATTCAGACATCTTATGTGTTTGTTGCTGATTCGATGAACAAAAGATTCAGCGATTAACCTCTCCCCACCTAACTATATAACTTCTTAATACTCTCAATTCGTCCCACCCTATTTTATGATTGTATGCAAGCGAATGCAGTGCAATGGCTGTTTTTTTTCGAGGTTATTTAACTTAGCAGGGTTAGTCATTTTAGGTCTAGCTAAATGTTCCAATAATCTAGTTCATCTCGATTTACCAGTTTGACCTATGTAATTGACCTCACTCATAGTCATTACATGGTATTTGGTAGGCGTCTTTCTATCTGCTGATCTTTCCTGGTCGTCTCATATCTTGGCGATTTCCAAGAAAATATTCCGTCTTACCTTCTTCATCAAGAAGTCAAAACATTTTGGTATAACCCAACCATTACTCCTACAACTCGTTAATTCTCGCATTCTGCCTATTATTCTCTATTGTTCCCCCTTAGTTTTTCCCGGGCTACTGAAGAAGGACTATACCTTATTACGCAGGATGTTAAAGGTTGTCAGCAGGGTAACCAACGTGCCACTTAATCAGCTTGTTAATATTCTCGTCGACAGGCACATGGACTCATGTGAAAAAATGGGCCAAATCCATTTTATCTAACTCACACTACCCTCTTCACTCACAACTCTCCCCTTGCATCTCATCAGGCAAAATCAGAAGCCTATATAGAAAACTATATGCTCGCACCAGCAAGTACAAAAACTCAACCATACCTTACTTAGCTCGTGTTCTGTGTGATAAAGAAAGCATTAGGCGTGACACCTATAATTCATTAAATAGTCAGTAGTACAACTGGACCTTGTCTTTCCAACTCATATCATTTATGGGTACAACATTTTCTTTTCCTCTTTTCTCTCTCTTTTTTTCGTTATGTGCTGCTTTTGTTTCTTTCTGTCGCTTACGCCAGTAAATATGATAGCACCTACTTTTCTAACACCTTCAAACACCGTTCAGCTTTACCTTTGCTACCGACATGCCAATATGTTGTTGTCATAATGAACTGAGATTTCCTTAATCTATATGGAATTTTATTTATTGATAATGTACTAACTGGATGCAATACTGTGGAAAAAATGCTAAGAATTCCATTCAGTATCACAAGTACTGTTTTGGAATAAAGCAAATTATTATTATTAATATTAAGTTATATTATTTTTCTTAATTGGATCTATCAGGTCTTTAAACCAACAAAGTTTTTCTCTGAGTGACTTGGTTGATTAGTTTAAATGCCAGCTTAGTCCCTCCCAGCCTTAATAAGAATCCTGTGTAGGGCATCTGATGTTCCTTCTTTATATGACAGTACCATCGAGGCTTTGAATTCCGCATTATTTATTCTATTTTCATAAGTTTATTTTAAATGTCACACAGTGATGCGGTATTAACAACTTGATGACATTTCAAGCTGAAATCATTGCTCATGATCACATCACAAATTCTGGTGGGCTGTTATTCACTCGAAGATTGCTCTAGTGCTATTTCACAGTGTTCTTCCTTTATTTCCTTCAAAAAACTCCCGACGGTAGGTAGAGATTTACTTGAAATGTTAAGTAAGTAAGTACGAATTGTGACTCCTCACTGTGGTAATTAGATCATTAAAACACAATATGAAACGGAGTAAACTCCGATGCATTTTGATGAATAAGAGAATTTAGGTAGCTCAATGATTAAAACAGGCTACCGCAAGAAGATTTCTACTGCTGAACCACTTACCCTGTATGCATTAAAATTAATGTAACCAATAATTAAATTTGTTCGAAGTAACTACGCTGGAATCATCTTCCATTTGAGTAGTTCTCACTTCAGTTTTATTGGGCAAGTAATTTTTCAGATTGTAATTTACATCAGAAATAAATTTCTCTCTTTAAAGTTGCTCACGAGCGAATTAAGGGTTTGATGATAAAACCTTTATCCTCTCTCTTGAGTTCTTATTGCGTAGCCTATACTGATAACTGAGAATTTCTTCAGTTAAACAGTTCCATTTCCCGGTCATTTCTATTAGACTTTTTTTCTAAAACAATAATTTTCGATATCTTTGAAGTTTGTGTTGCGATAAGATTGATTTTCTGTGATAGTGTTGCTAGCCCCACATTCAATTTCCCCTGTTTTACGGGCCTACGACATGCTAGTAAGCTATAGGACTCGTAAACTAGGTGAGGTTATTCACTCAGTGATACATCCACAGACTGGGAAATTATACATTAAATATCAGGAGAACCGAACACATTCATCTCAGCCCTTTGCACACAGTATCATCATGTGGGGCAAACAATCTCCCCCGGATGAAACCTGAATGGAGGAGGACGAGTTGTGCATGAGTTTCAGGATGACATGGAGGAGAACGTGTGACAAGGTAAACGTTTATGGGCTGCTGTGAAGTCTGTTAAAAAGAATTTGACGAAAAGGGTGAAATAGCGATGTGCTGTTGAAGCCTAACGTTCCACAGGGAACCCAAGGATATATTATTAATAATAATTTTTGGTCGTCTGAACTGTTTATTCGTAGAGGTCTGATCACGGGCTGATGCCAGTTAGAAGACCATTGAAGATCCAGGAAGTGCTGGGTAGCTGTCTCGTCCGGCAAGAACTCACTAGTGTTTGAACCCAGAACCTTCTAGTTACAAGCAGAGCTCATAGACCATTCAACCGCTGGTATCTGATCGTTTGCTGACGACGCTGTCTCAGATAACCTTAAAGTGATATACTATAATATTGATTTTGTATGTAATAACTGAAGGTGAAAGAACAGGAGAAATTCTTGGTGACTGCGGTATGAGAAAGGCATTTTCAGCCGTTGCTTCTATTATTACAGGTGAAATACTGTCAGACTAGGTATCTGGAGACCTCGTTTCTTGCAATTCCTTCAGCACTCCAGGTTTTCACTTCACTTTTATTCATTATTCATATCTATGCCAGTAAAATATTCGCTTTATTTCTTTACACAATATTTAAAAAAATTATTTTATAATTTTAATCTGAAAAAGGGAATGACAAGCCTTATTCTAGCTACTGATATGGCTAGACATGGTGAAATATTGGAAACAATGAGAAGACATTTAGAAGAAGGTTTTTCAATGAATAAAAAAGAACATCGTGAAACCGTAAGTTGGTAAATTCAACTGTTTATACGACTGCCTTACCCTTCATGAATCTAATTTTTGCTTCACTGATCATCTCATCAGCTTAACGTTGGACAGTGACACATTATCTCATCTCAGCTATGCAGTACGACATGTTAACTGTGGAAGTTAGATTCACCTTAGTGTGCGAGTATTACGGACCAAGCCCCACGTGGTCTAAGTTCGGTCCCCGACCGACTCACTGCTCTAAACCTCGCTTAGCCGGTAGTAAGCCCAGTAAAGAAGGAGGGTTGCGTATGCGGCTAGCAACCCCGTCCCGCATAAAATAAACACCATTGCTACTTAACCTTCAAAGGTCAAGCATGGAGTCTTAATTTCTACTCGGATTGCAATGGAATAATAATGATAACAGTTTGGATGTGGAATTTAAGCCTTCGTATTCGAAAACGTCATTAGTGTTGCCTTTTATAAATATGAAGGCAATATAAAAGTGGTGATCGTCACAGGTATTACCCTAGGCTAAAATGAGACACACACTGGTTGAATGTGCAGTCAAAAGTCTCGTCGCAAGTAGCAATGGTAGAAATCTAATGAAAGTCATTTTTTTCACAAACCTCATCTGAACAGCATTTCAGCTACAGGCGGGGCAGATGAAGATGTCAAAGCCAGCCAGGATGGGGAAAGTGGAACAGACTTGGGTTACTCTGAACCCAGTGTGGAAATCTACTGCACTGGACGTAAGGAACAAGATCTCCAACAGTAATGTCAAGTAAGTACTTCTATATACTCCAGAGGCTTGGCACTCGTGTCATGAAAAGCTTACATCAATAGTTGTGTTTGCATCATACTGAAGATCGGATGACCGGCTAGCGTTTATAAACAACGAGTAACTATGACAACGAATCAACCACGAACATATCATCAAACAAATATAGAGATGTACTGGACATACGCGTCGAGGAGACCGTCGAGTGAGGTCATGTCCCAAACAGGACCTTGTGGAGTGACCTATAAAAGACTGAGAAGAAAAGAGGGAAATCGCGATGTGCTGCTGAAGCCCTATATTCCACTCAGAACCCAAGGGAATATCAATAATAAGTAGAAGTACTTTTCATGGTCCTAATGGTGTACAGGTAACTTAAAGTATGAATACGAAAAGCATAAATATCAGCTATGCTACTGTAAACAACTTGCAGTGAAGAAGGTTCTTCAAGCGAATATAGTGAAGAAAGAGTTGATTTAGATACCGGACCACCAACAGCAAACACCAATCATCGGGGGTAATCTAAAGTAATCCTTATGTGAACAGGCAGCATCGTTTCAACTACAGGCGGCACTGGTAACGATGTCCAAACGAGCTGGTTTTGGGAAGCAGAACAGGCGTTCTGACACCAGTGAGGAGATTCACAGAAATTAATACGAGGAAGAAAATCCTAATTCTCAACAATAATGTCAATTCAGATATGTGAATCTGGAATACCGTAAGGTGTAGTTTGTGACTACTGTGCCATTGAACTATGAATATCACTCAAGTATTTTAGAAGTTGTTTCTCATTTCTGTAAATATCTTCAGTGTAGAATGTAATTCAGTGTGAGGAGAACATATCAACACTTCCTGAAATTCACAAAGTTTCTTCATGTCTATTCCTGTCTAGAACGTCTACTATTAATAGTAATAGTCGCTTTATTTCAAACACTAGTTATGCAGAATGGAATTTTCAGCATTAGTACATATTGGAACAATTTATCTCCCTTGATAAACATATAAACAACACAATAATCACATCTTTATTCTGGACAGTATTTATAAAATTTACAGAATTCTCAGAGCAGTTTATTGCATGATATTTTCCCTTTGTACAATATCTTCAAGTAAAATATTAATTGACAGAAGCATATCCTGTGACACAATGGTCTCTTAGCTGAAGCACAAGGCCGTTCTATTACGATATATCTGCTTTGTCTCTGTTTCAAAAGATCCACGATGTCTAGTTGAAAGCCAGTTGTAAGATGTTTAGAAGTGCATTTTGAGTCGCAAGGACACAATTGAAGAACCGTTATCTCATGTATTGGAACACGTTGCCACCCACAATCAGGCCATTCCTCAAGTTTAACAGGAACTTGCGAATCAGAAGCTTGTAAACATTTTAAATACACACACAAGAGTAGATAATACCACTAGAGGTCATATCTTAATCGATAAAACAAACCGAACGAGAGGAAATATATGCCACAGAGAAATAGAAGTTTTTGGTAGCCCAAGTTTTAAGCAGGCTGCCTATATATATATATATATATATATATATATATATATATATACATGTAATAGTAGAAATAATAAAGCTATAAAAACCGAAAGTTTAATATTTTGCTGTACCAGCATAAATTTTTATGAAATTTCTTCCGATTCTATCTGAAGAGTTAATAGGACAGAGTTGCGAATTAAGAGGATGTTCAGTAGCAGACAAGATGGCTTTAGCTAACTGCTTGGAAGGATTAAAATGCCTTTCAACCGCAGTGTCAGTTAGTTGAGTTAAAGGCACACACACACACCACTAATCTTGCTTACAATCTTCAATGTTCTACATAATATTGTAACAACAGAATGCAAGACACGGAAGCCATGGTATACTTTTCATTAATCAAACCGCTGTTTATTTATCTACAGTTTATATTCGTTAACTAGTCACTGACCGCGTGATTTAGATTTACATCAAATGACATGAAATAGAATATTCAAATATACATAGTATTTTGTTGTTAATGCTGAACTGAACTGTGGGAATATGTGAGAATAATATTCCGTTGGCACACACTGTCTGTATCACACCACCATAGTATGACATGGTCTTTTTCGAGAAGCCCAGGGAATAATAAGAGGAAATAATATTGATGAACAAGTAGAATGGATGAATTAACAAATTTTAAGGGAGGAGGATGAGTTATACTAGAAGAAAGTCTCGACTTCCCTAGGTAATAATAATTCAAACGAGATATTCTTCTAATAAATCAACAAGATATTAGGTGGCCAGCGAATATTTGAAGAGAAACTGATGCTAAGGAATGTGATATTCGAATTATTTCCTGTCACAGTGCCGTCAGTATTATTATAAGAATCCTGGGGCTGAATCAGTCCACACAAGTCTTGTTTGCATCTGAAGTTGAAATTAACAGTCTGACACTTAGAGGGCTTCTGTTTAAGACTGTTTGAATAACCATCAGTTCAATAAGCTTTTTACACCACAGTAATCATAATATCCACTCCTGCTATGGTTATTATTACTATTATTATTACTCATTATTACTCTATTTCCTGTAGTTTAAAATGGTGCTTATAAAATGTTGTGATATTTCAAATGAAGTCAGACCAATGAATGTTAGCGAACCATGGGTTGACTGTTTACTTGAAGAATACTTCAATCAGGTAAGTCTTATTGATTTGTTAACTTAAAGAACCTCTTGTTGAGCATATTTTACTAACTGTTAGTTTTTGTTTTTGAATCATTTTGATTGTTTTCTATGAGAGTTTACATATCCTGTTCAAGTGTTGGTTTGTAGGGATTTGATTGGTTACAGGATTTTCATCATGAGCTGACATCAGTTAGAGAACCACTGGAAAACCTGGGAGTACTGGACAGCTGTTTCATCCTAGTCTGGGACTCTTCAGAGGTACGCACCCACTGGGGTTCCAATGGTTCTCTAACTGATGTCAGCTCATGATGAAAATCCTATAACCAATCAAATCCCTACAAACCAACACTTGAATATCAATGAGATGCTCACTAGCGACTTGTCCTATTCAGGTAGGTAGTTACCTGGGGTTCTAGTGAGAAGTTGTGACCAGTAGGGTGCAGCAGGTCGGGTGTGAGGACAAATACTCGCCGAAGATATTGGCTAGCGGTTGCGCTATGTCGTGAATTGTCAGAAGTTGGAATTCATGTGCTGGCCATTGGATCGGGTCCCAGTGGCTCAATAGCATACGAGCTCGCCTTGTAACCAGACGGTCCTGGGTTCGAATCCCGGTGGGTGTGTACTGATAAAGAGTCCCAAATTAGGACGAAACAACTGTCCAATACTCCCCGGTTTTCAATGGTTCTCTAAGTGATGTCAGCTCATGTTGGAAATCCTATATCCTGTTCCATTAACATTGATAACTAGAGAGATAAATTCAGGTTTCTTCACGAACCACCGTAAGTTGGACAATCACTGAAAATCACAGTTTGGAACTCATCAGTAGTGTCCACCCATAATCCTACTAGGGATCGAATTCTGTTCATCAGTGATGATTATAGGAATAGAATTCAGTCTACACCAATACCAAGGACTAGACTCATGACATTAGTTACTACTTAATATCCAATCAAAGTATCTCTTACAGTCCTGCAGGAGGTCAGTCGCAAGGTCAAATAGCTCAGTGGTAACATTTGCGACTACAACACTGTATGTGATACGGGTTCGAATCTCAAAAGAGACATAAGTTCATTATAATAAAGGTTTTTGTATTTCCCAATGAATGAATGAAAAACAAAACGATATTGCTGCTTTTACTGATGTTTCGCTATTTAACAGCTTTATCAAAGTATTATTAAACCGGAATCTACAAAATCTCAGCATATATATAACAAAGAGTTCAGAGGTGAGAAAATAGACTTAGGTCAAGTTAAAAGGACATATTGAAAGTCAAAATAGCAATGAAGTTCACTAAACCAAATAACAAAGGTAATAGTACATCTGTTATGGTATCAAAACAAAGTTTACTAACTTGATCATCGTTCGTTAATCTGGGGTCATTTTTCGTTGTCAAGTTGGTTATTTGGTAAAGATAACAAAATCAAAATCAAGTGTAGATTGTTGGATTTGATCAGTGTTTAAAATTATAAAGTCAGTGTGTGTTTACATAGTGAACTTCCATATCACATTCGTGTTGATTTTGTCACTTGGTGGGGGAGGGAGATGTTGTAACTAGGTCAGATTCTGTTTGAGTTCATCATTCCTATTCAAGCAATTTTGATTCCACTTGATATGAAGTGCTTCTGATATTAGACGTTCTTTATGATTTCTGAAGTTTTTCTGGATTATTTCAATATTGTCAAAATCAATTTTGTGGCTTGATTCTATGGCATGTAGACCTATGACTGATGATTTTTCAAGTTTTTTCAGCTCATTTGGATTTCTTGGTGGTCGAAGAGATGCTCTACGGTTTTCATTACTTCTGATTCTGATTTCTCGAGATGATTGTCCGATGTATATCACATCACATTCCAAGCATTTTGTTTTATAGACACAATTAGATAGAGAATATTGAGGGATTTGGTCTTTTATATGGACAAGGTTGTTTTGTAGTGCGTCTGATGTTTCAAAGAAAACTCTAAAGTCGAGCTGATTGAGTACTCTTCTGATATCAACTGACGTCTCTTCTGGATATGGGATGACGATTGTCGAGGTCCATGTTTTCAGAATGCGTTTTCGGCCATACTTAATGTCAGTGTTGATTTTGTTGATGAAGTCCCCAGGGTAGTTGTTTTGCTTGAGAGTTTCAGTAATGTTTGACATTTCTTTTTCTTTTTGTTTCTCGTCGGTTATCAGAGAGTGTGCTCGTCTAAGAAGACCTGAAACAACTGAAATCTTTGCGCTGATGGGGTGTGATGATTTGAAGTCTAAATATTTATTATAGTGGGTTTTCTTCCTGAATATGGATATACTAAAATGTCCGTTTTCCCTTCTCTTAACTAGGCAGTCTAGAAATGGTAGTTCACCGACGTCTGATTCTGTTCCCGAAGTAAACTTAGTTCTGGGAGATACACAGTTTATTTTCTTCAGACATAAGTTCCTTCAGGATTTCATTTACGCTACGCTGACCAGTGAGTGCCAAAACGCACGAAACCTAAATAAAGCCAAGGCTTCCTGCCTATCGCCTCCAGCCATGGAACATATATTTATTCTGCTGTCCTATACTTTCCCAGTCGCATTGATGGCGCAGCGGTAGAATGCTCGCCAACCACGCAGGTGGTTCAGGGTACGACCCCCGGCCGGCGCACTCCTTCACCTCGCTGTGCCAGTAATGAGACTGGTATAAAGGGGAGGTTGGGCATGAGGCTAGCAACCCCATCCCGTGACAATAAGTACCACTGCTGCCGAAACCTCAAAACTCCATTGGGAACGTAAAGGAATAAAAAGATACTTTCCTAGTGGGTTTTTTAGGCGTAGCTGGAGAATTTAGAACTTTAGAGCAATAAATACTGATAACTTTTAGGCCCAGAGTTATGATTAATATAACGCCATTTCTTTGAAATAATTATCCTTAAGTGTAGCTTATCTTAATATATGTGTGAAACTTAGACCCTTTGGTAGTATGCAATTCCCTATTATTGTAAATATTACACTGTGAGATAGTATTGCTCAACTGGATGACGTTTCGGACACAGTTTACTGTTCATAACCATATCATCAGCTGTAGGATTAGTGGAATTTTCTGGATGTCCACAGCAGGTGATGAATTGTTCCTTTTGTATGTGTTCACTTTTACCTTGTTCCATCTTACTGTATAGCTCTGTCTGTAACTTCATTAATTGCCATATTTGGACTTGTCCCTTCATTTCTTATCATTAACAGCGTCAAAAGGTCAAGGTTCTTCTAAGCTTTTACCTTCTACCAGTCTAATTGACACTGGTTTACTGCACTGACCTAAGAATTTGACAGAATAATTCTTTTTTAAAACAATTAGTTCCCTTTATGAATTTAGATAAAGCAATAAGAAGATGTAATTTATCTGAATCGTGTAATGTATTTGCGCAACACATTTCGAACAATCTGATCACACACGGACTTGTCATAGGAATATATATGAAATTAATAAAGAGGCAAGAGGTGAGAAAATAGACTTGGGTCAAGTTAAGAGGACATATTCAAGGTCAAAGTAACAATGAAGACCACTAAACCAAATAGCAGAGATAATATTACATCTGCTATGGTATCAAAACAAAATTTACCAAAGAAGGTTTATTGTGATGACGAATTGTTTTTGAACGCATAAAGGTGGTTTAAACTTCCTAATTGCCAGCTAGGGCTTTCACAAACTTAAGGATACGCCCCAAACACGTTTTATAGATAGGTTTAAAAGATCTGTTAACGTCAATTTTATGTCCTGTCTCTTTAATATGTTTCGCAATAGAAGAACTAGGTCTCCTGTTCTCACCGTTAATAGGTTCTGAAGATTCCATTTGTTTCTGGAGCCATTTAGGAATATGCTCTGAAACGAGCCCTTACTTGCAGAGATCGATGAGTCCTCCCTATGTATGTGTGTCCACACGTACATTCAAATTGGTAAATACAGTGGTATATGACATCATTTTTCTCATGTTCGAAGGGCTTAGATAGATATCTTGGCTTCACATTCTCAATTATTATGATATTAGCTGCATAAAAAGTCTTTTTCACAGCAGCGTTCAGTCTTTGTCTAGTTATCAAGCTGTTTTGATGCCCCACATAGGGTAGCTTAATGTACACGTCTTTCTTAGGGGTGAGTGGTAGAGTGGGTATTGGTGTTGTGACTACTTTATATCTCCTGATCAACTTGTCTCGATAATTGTTATCAACCAGAGTTTGTGTCAACTTTCTTTCTTCTTCATCAAGTGTGTCTTCAGTGCATATTCGTTGAATTCTACTGAAGAGGCAGCCTATTAAGGCTCTTTTGTACAGAACAGGGCAGAAACTGTGGTAATTAAGATATTGTCCTGCCCAGGTAGGTTTTCTATAAATAGATCTTTTTATTGACCCATCAAGCCGTCGACTAAGCAATATGTCTAGGAAAGATAAACAGTTATCTTCCTCTTCTACAGATGTAAGTGATATGCTATTCTGAACTTCATTCATTCGATTTAAAATTGAGGTGGCAGAACAAGACTTATCACTGAAGTTTACAATATCATCTACATACTTTGTATAAAGTGGCACATTTTCGATTAAATCCTCCAATAAGTTCTCAGTGTACGACATATAAATATCTGCTAAAAGGGGGCCTAACGGACTTCCCATAGCAACACCATCAACTTGGCGGAAACACTCACCTTCAAACGTAAACATAACATTGTTAGTACATAGAAGTAATAAATCCCTTAAATAAGATATAGGGAACGGGATGAAAAAATTGTTTGTGGAAATATAATCACACAAAGGCACATAAGTGAATAACGAGTTTACATCAAAAGAGTACATATTCTTATTCATAATATTAATATTACTATTGTCAAGAAAATCAACCAATTCAAATGTATCTTTTAACACATACTTACAGAATTGTGTTTTAACTGGATGCAATAATTCTACTAACCATTTAGCAAGTTTATGTGTTGGGGATTTGCACATTGACAGCATAGAACGTAGAGGATTATTGGGTTTATGTATTTTCGGCAAGCCATACATATGCGGGAAATTACAATCTGATGGTTTTAATGAGTCAAATTTATCTTTACTTATAGCATTTAGGCCTTGAAGTTTCAGTAGATTAGCTGTCACTGTGCCCTGCAACAACTGAATATCTTCTGAGGGGGGATCACGGCTAAATTTGCTTTTATCATTAAGAATAGACATCATTTTAGATTTATAGTCACTTTTATTCATGATGACAACTCCAGAACCTTTATCAGGTTTCGTAATATTCGCTTATTTGTCTTAGTTCCTAATGAAGATTTTTTTAGTGGTGCTTGGCTGTTTTACACTATTAGACTTAAATATTTCACTGGTCCTGACATGGGATGAACTGAGAATCAAACATCAGAGTAAAAATATATAGATTTTCTATGAACACTAGTGTTTAACTCCCCAACCTAGTACCCTTTTATTATGAAATGGGACATCAGAAGGCCCTGTTAGTAAATTGGACTCAGACCATTGCTGAATTTGTATGGTTGGAAATCTTTTGTTTTCAGTTCTGTCGATGTCTCGTCTACATACATCCACCGCATTTAGAGGATACACTTCCGCGTACAACATCTTTAAAACATAGTTTTTGGTAAAAGGCTTAACTTCTTTCCACATACATGGATGGCATAATTTCTTCAAATAACCTAAAACAACAAATCCTGATTTACTTTTCTGCCTACCTGTTTGGTAGTGGGCAACAATGGAATCCAAGGCAAGCGCGTTTCTTTCTATTTCTCGCTCGTCATCCGGATGAATAATAGTATACTTCATTTAACTCGAACCCAGCAATGATAGCGCCAAACATCTATGCGTTGTCCACTCAACCAATGCAGCTGATTAGTTTTGTTCAAATGTATCGACGAGAAATATCAAGCATGAATTCTATTTCGGTTCGGTCATGAGTTGACTTCAATCAGGGAACCATTGTGAACCACCATGGAGTTCTGGACAGATGTTTCGTCCTTGTTTTGAACTTCTCAGACGTATGTACTTATCAACCCACTAGGGATCGAACCCAAGGCCTTCAGGTTACAAAGCGAATGTATATACCATTCAGCTACTGGGACAAAATTCAGTGGCCCATGAATTTTAATTTCTGCCGATTTGTGATGTATACTGTGACCGACAGCCAGTGTCATTGGTGAGCGTTTGTCATCAAGCCTAACTAGGTGGACTCCATTGATCACGACTTTCCACTAAAACTTCAGGAAAATTCATCCTGTAGTGGGTCACTAATGAGTAATGAGATTAACTTTCAAGTGTCAGTTTTGTTTTTGTCGGTTAAATATTCAGAAGATTAGTACAAAATTTAATAACACAACACTTTACCCCTTGATTTAGACAATTAGATATGATGGAGAAGATTTGTAGCTCAGGTGGATGATTTTGATGTGGTTGTGTTCTCTGAGCTGGATTGTTAATTTGTGAAGCTTTCATCACCCTACTAGGTGACATCTTCAGCGCATACTTCAATTTGTTGAAGTGAGCTTTTAGATTTCTCCATGAGTTTATTAATCATCTCTCCCGGTGGGGGACCTTGGACGTGATTGGTTGTTTTTGTGTGTTTTCACACCTTCTAGGCTACTTGCATTGGAACTGATTGTTTCTTTGACTTGAACTTTGACCCTTTGTGTGTGAGGTTTCTTTCTTATCGGTTGATAAATTTTGTCAATCTCGATGTGTCTATTGATTGATGATTCACTGGAATACCAGGCGGGCTTCTAAAAATTCTCTAGCATTCTTGTTGTTTCCTCTGTCTAATATTTGAACATTGTCCCAATCGAATTGATGTCCATGGTTGTCTGTATGTAGTGATATGAGAGAGTGGATATCATGTCTTTTGACAGCTAGCTTATGTTCGTGGATACGAAGACGAAGGGGACGTCCACTTTGGCCAATGTTGTGTTTTTCGCACCTGTTACAATTTATTTTGTAGATTATGTTGGTTTTATCTTCTTTCGCTGTTGAGTCTTTTGGTTGACATAGAATAGAGTGAAGTGATTTTGTTGGTTTGTGTGCGACGTCAATTCCTAAAGGTTTGACGAGTCTTGCAGATTTAGACAATTAATTTGTGGTTTAGTCAATGTTTTCTAAATCATACCTGAACAAAGCTTAATTGATGATATCATAAAAGTGGTTATTTAGATCATACTGGCCGATGGAAACATCTGAAAAAATCACTTTCAACAAATTCGCAGTAATTCTCCCACAGATTTTTCAGTGGCTTTTAGAATATATACTTAAATGTTTTCCAGGTGCACTGATAACTAACCATTTCTGACTGTTTGTTTCTTATACCCAGTAGTGCCGTGTAGTAGATTAGGAGAAATACGAGCTACTCTGATAGCTAATCACAACGTTAACAACAATCACAAGAAAAACAGGACAACTTTTATTGCTTCAAAAACATTAATCAAAATTGTTAACAGCAGTTCTGAATAGTATATAAGTTTTGAGTGACCTTGAAAAGCACTAAGTTCACTGATAAGTTTAAAGAACTAACGACCAATCAGAATTGAGCCCTCACAGATTGGAGGAAAATATTAAAAAAGGCGCTAAGAATTCGCGATAACTGCAAAATATAATTGTTTTAATGGTTACAGACTAATGTTAGTAAAATATTCTTTGACTTAATGTCTTTATTTTTTTCTGTTATTTATATATTTAGTCTGATCGTGAAAAATTGGAAGGTTTACCAGTAGCTCCATTTATGGATCGTGAAAAAGTTACTAAACCATCAGCTCAAATTGGTTTCATTAAATTTGTATTAATCCCAATGTTTCAGACTGTAGCGAGTGTAAGTCAGTTCTATTGACATTTTTAACTGTATTACTATCGAAGTTATTCATTTTATTCCTCTGCGTTCCAAATGCAGCATATGATGACTTTAAGTTTGAGCTTTGAGCCGGTCTTATTACCAGCTAATCGAGGTTTGGGAGGACATCGGTTAGGAATGGAATCACGGCGGACCACATGCTTGAACCACGGACGCTACCATCTACATAGGGTCATCAGCTTCTTTAAGCAATAACAGACGGTGCTAAATGCCACTGTGGTAATGTAAAAGACATTCTGTTGATTTAATATCAGCAAATATTTTGGTTAAAATTAATTCTTGTCTGGGGTACTTTTTTCTCAACGGCACCTTCAAGGTTTATGGACGTTCCTTCTATGAAATTCACAATTCGCTAATTAAACACTTTCAGGTGTAACTTAACTACAGTTCCCTTTGGAAGCCGAAGTTATTCAGGTCATGAAATATGTGATCTACTTGATACTGTAAATGATGATCAAGAAGGCAAACATAAACGCATGATGCTACATACTACTCATTCATATAAGTAGTTGGATACCACCAATCACACCGATTATTAGTGTGGTGGTATAGCGGTTAGGACGCTCGCCGACCATGCACATGGTCCGGGGTTCGATCCCCGGTCGACGCACTCCTTTATCTCGCTAAGCCAGAAATAATGCTGGTAAAGAGGAAAGGTTGGGCACGAGGCTAGCAACCCCATCCTGTAAAAATTAAACACTGCTACAGAAACTTCAAGCCACTAGCTTGAAGCCCTATGTTCCACTGGGGAACGTGACAGAGAAAAAAAAACTAATTGAAATAAATTAAACATTGGCGGCTGTATCACTTGTTTGAAAACGAGCTCATTAGCAGTGCATCCGGTTTCCTTTAGCTCAGAGAAGTGAATTGGTTCGGACCAGCCGAATTCTGATAAGCTAATTGGACGAAATGATGATTCAAATGTCAGAGGTAGAGTCATCTAGGACTGACTACTGATGAAGTCAACCCCAAACGAGTGGAGCAGTCGTTCAGTGTTTAGGTCATTCTAATCTTGTTGACAAGTACTGGTAGTTGAATAAAGCGGGAACAGTGGTTTTTACAGAATAGGCTGGCATTATCGTTTATTTTGTTGGCTTCTCATCAGTTGTGTTAAGTCGTTAAGTTTATGTACAGAAAAGATTTAACTTATCCGCAAAAATCGATAGATATCCTTCTCATGTTAACTCCAACTGTATATACAAATTTACATGTATTTGCGGGAGCAGTTACATTGGAAGAACAGAAAGAAGGGCATATCTACGATATTCTGAACATGTACCAAAAAGTTTACGTCTAAAGGAAACAAATGCTTTAAACAGTGCCATCGCCAGGCATCTCCTTGACCCGGGTCATGAGGTGGACGTCGAAAAGTCGTTCAAAATTATCAATAAGCAAAAGAGCTCAATTCTCCTTAAGTTTACTGAAGCCATTTCCATGAAGCGCCTAAAACCTGATTTGTGCGTTCAGAAAGAAGTGGTTATCAGTCTTTCTTCGCCCTGGTAACTGGATATTTTTCACCTGAATGCGGGGTACTGAAAAGTTTTCATTGTGTATGATTATTATTGTTCTGAATACTGTTTAATATTGCATATATATGTATATATTATTAGAGTGTGCGTATATTGATCGATTGATTCTTGTTTACAATGAACTCTGTGCAAGTATGTTAAATTGTTTTTGTAGATACATTTAATAATGTTTTTACCTTGTAAGCAGCTGACGAGAAGGCAACGAAATAAAAGATGGTACCCTTTTATTCTGCTAAAACTGTAGTTGTTGCTTTGTTCAAATTATCCGCATATATTGCATGATTTCAGTTAACAGGAGACTCCAGACTTAATGAACAGTGTTCAGAAATTAAACTTATGTAGCTAACACAGCTTACAGAAGGTTCGTCTTTAAACTAAAAATAAATGCTTGAATACAGTGGCAGGGAAGTTGTATAATAAAGATAAGAGAGGGATAAAAATATAAGTAAATAATGAGCTGAACCACAGTGTGGTGAGTTAAACTTAGATCATAAGAACATAAGACAAGAGAAATTACAATATAGAGAAGGGGGAGAGGTTAAGGGTAAAGAATACGTAATCAAATGAAAGAGAGAATAAAGACATCCAGTTATAGAGCCGAGGGACTAACGCTGACTGCTTTTTCTGAATATATAAATCTGGTTTTTGGTGTATGATAGCGATTCCTTCGGTAAACTTGAGGATAACTTAACTGGCATGTCTATGGATAGTTTTAAGTGATTTCATAGAAACAACCCTTATAGCCATGATATTTGGCTGCACTTACACAGTTAGTCAGCTGATTCTACAATTGAGTCTACTCCACAGCTGATGGCCAGGCTTCTTCTAGTGTCTTCCCAACTAATAAATGCAGAGCACATTGTACACTGCTGTTTAGGGATACATTCAGTTAAGGATATTATTGAGGCAGTATAGTGATACACAACCGTATTCTAATGCAGTAGCCACACACATTCATCTTCAAACACTTCCTGCCTTTTCAGACAGTAGCAACAGACGCACTGATATGACTTAATCTTAAATTGATCGACGAATTTCTGTGAAACTTTATTAGCCCATAATCTTAACATTTTACCGTAAATGAATATGATATAAGATTCAACACTGTGGAACAAATAAACTTTGAAAATAATAATACTTTCAATAGTGTCTCTCTGTAATTACATTTCAAAGTTTTCTTTATTCTGTGAGCAATAACTTTCTATAGTTTAACTTAACAAGTTCATCGGTGGTCGACTGTTAGAACAATTGCCAACCGTGCAAGTGGTATGGAGTTCGATTCCCGGCCGATGTACCCATAAACCTCACTTAGCCGTTAGTAAGACCGGTAAAGAAAGAAGATTGCGTGTGAGGCAAGCAGCCTAACTGACTAACTGGTTTCAACATAGAAATCTGCACAGAAGTGCAGCAGTTTGAGTTGTCACTGTCCATGTAGCATACAAAGCGAGAGAAGAGAGTAAAGAGAGATTCAAAATAGAGAGATAATAAACAGAAATGTGAGGAAAAAGGAACAGGAACAGTAGAGTACTTTTGGATATGACAAATCAAAAAGAGTGAATGCATCTTCACCATCATCGAGGACGATTTAATGCCATATCAATAACTGCCTCCAAATATCATTGGTCCTTAGCATCCCGAGAACTACAACCAGGAAGTCATTATACATCACCCCACGTGATTGGCTGAAACTAACTGTTATGGATTTCATTGACTGATGCCATGTTCTGGTTTGACCACCACTAGCAGCTGTTTTCCAACCTTATCAATTCTTTGTCAGCTAACATTGCACATTTTCTAAGAAGGCGATGGCTAGGCATGCGTAACTCATGTCCTAACCATCTCAATCGATGTAACATCACAGCCTCGTCAATTGATTTTCCCTCCTAGCAGCCCCATCCCGTGAAAAGGAAAGCCATTTCCACTGAAACTCCAAACAATGTAGCTTGAAGCCCTATCATTCCAAACAGAAATGCAAAGGCATAAAATACAGAAAAAATAATAAATATTATCGCTAAGAAGAATTGTCAACAAACTCTATAAATCAGCACTCACTTCCACCAAAGCGGATTTTATGTGTTAATGCAATATGTGTGCGTCAGTGGCACAGCGGTTAGGACTCTCGCCGACCATGTACATGGTCCGAGGTTCGATCCCCCGCCGACGCACACCTGATATCTATGTTCGGCCTGCTAAATTTGGGCTACCGATATCGCATGCTGAAAATTTCATACTTGTACCAAAATACTGTGTGTAATCAAGCTACAATAAAATATAAATAAAAAAATATGCAAAATTTTAGTTATAGTCTAGTGGAGTTTCTGGATTTGTTTATTTGAGACTGTAAAGAATGACTAAATAATCCTTTAGGCATTGAATTTTCAACGTAGGACGTCTTATAGAAGCAGTTCAGCTAACTGCAGTTCACAAAAGCACCCATAAACTTATAAAAATTAAGCAATGCGAAGAGATTGTAATAAATAGGGATGCATTGATGAAATAGTAATTACATGAACAATAGTTATAGTTCAATGAGTCTCAGACATCACAAAGTTTGAGTAGATCTCCACCAAGCAGAGCAATTCTAAACTATCGTTCTTAATATCTAGGGGATCGCAGCCAGACTCAAATCTAACAATGAAAAACTTCATAAACTGATTATGTTATGTTCAGGTCCAACTCTTTTCCAATGCGAAATCCTAAATCAGCTAACGCTGTTGCTGAGTGTACACGATCGATTATTATTATATTATTTATTATTGTTCCCTTGGGTTCCTAATGGAACATAGGGCTTCAGCTGCACGTCTCCACTTACTTCTGTCTTCTGCTATACTTTTCACTTGCATCCATGTTAATCCATACTGTTTCAACTCTTCTTCACACGATCTACTCCATGTCACCCTTGGATGTCCTACTCTCCGCTTCCCTTCCGGGTTCCACTCGAACACTGGCCTGACGCGTGATGTCACCCAACGGCCTCCTCAGCGAGTGTCCAATCCATCTCCACTTTCTCCTGCATATTTGTCGAGGGATTGGTTCTTGTTTTCTTTGTTCCCATAGTTTCTTGTTGGTTCTTGTTCTTTCCGGCCATCTCATCTTCAGTATAGAGCGAACGAAGACAGTTGTTGATCAAGGTCTGCAACAGGCTGTTGGAAATATTCTTTGTGACACACTGGCCAAGTTTCTGATCCATCCGTATAGAAGAACTGACTGACTTGACGTTTGTATTGAAAATCCGAATCACTTTGTTGTTGATGCAGGCTGAGTGACAGCGGAAGATTTCCAGATTGGTTTCAGGTTGATGAATGCGTTCCTCGCCTTCCTGATTCTCGCTCGATTTGACATCGTCGTCCGTTCCTCGTGTAGTTGAGACAATGCTTCCTAGATAAGTGAGTGAATGAAGTGACCTCTTTCAAATCCCTCCTGTTGATGGTGATTGGCGGTGGATGTTGCTGCTGCTGTTGTTGTTGTTGGTTGGTTGGTTATTTTCATAACCTCCGTCTTGTCTATGTTCACCTGGAGTCCTGTCTTCTCTGGCTGCTTCTTCGACCAGTTTGTCGGTTTTCGCTTGTAAGTCTTCGATATTGTGTGACATCAAACATAAATCATCCACGCACGAAATCCAGGTATTCTAGGTTCTTCATGTCGGTCCAGGATATCCCTGTCTTCTCGTTTCCCACTGTCTTACGCATAATCCAGTCCACCACAATGAGGAATATCATTGGTGATAATAAGCACCCTTGTCTGACTCCTGTGTTTACTCGAAACGCCTCGCTGAGTTTTCCGTTTTGGATGGATCACTTGACATGTGGTGTTGTCGTACAGCTGTTGAATAGGGTTGATGAATATTAGGGGTACGCCGTAGTACTCGAGTAGTTTCCAAATTACTTCGCGGTCAACGTTGCGCTGTCGAAGGCCTTCTCAAAGTGTATAAAGTTGAGGTATAGGTTTGATTGCCATTCCATACTTTGTTCGATTATGATGCGTAGAGTTGCAATTTGGTCAGAACATGATTTGCCTTTCCTGAATCCAGCTTGTTCTGTTCGGAATTCTGTATCCAGTGCGTCCTTGATTCTCTCCAAGATGATGCGACTAAGGATTTTACTTTGCGGCGACAGGAGCATGATTCCTCGCCAGTTCTTGCAGAGTCCTAAATTGCCTTTTTTTGGTAGTTTCACAAGTTAACCTCTCCTCCAGTCAGTAGGCAGAGTCGATAGCTTGATATAGTGTTTACATTAGAGACCATGTAATTTGACTATTGTTACAGTAGAATTTTGCAACCTTGCTTTGACTTCATCAACAATTAATCCATCAAGGCTGATGTAACTTCTCAAATATTATAAAATGGTCAACAATACAATTCGACATTTCATCACTCTCTAACAAAGTACCAATCATGCCACTATCATCGCTCCTTTTCTTTCCAGAAGTTATTATATATATTCCATAATTGTGTTGGAGACAGAAGTGTATCAGTCATCTTCAAAAATTTAACTGTCTTTTATGTAGATTGAAAAGAAGGTCTTTTTCGTCAATTTGGCGCCCAGTTAATCAGAGATACACCCAGTCAAACTCAATCCAAAGAACTAAACCCATTGATTTCATTTTACTGCATATACATATATACGACTTCAAACTCTATTCAGGCATCATATAAGAAACACTCACTTCTTCTTATTTTTTCTCTCTTTTTCAAGGTTTATCCAATCATTGATGAACTTATGGTGACTCAGTTAAATTCAGCATTAGAACGATATGAAAAAATGCAGGCTGAAGACGAGGCGAAAAAACGAAGCGCTAGTTTAAATGAAGCTGATTGAAGATGAATGGGATACAAAGGCAAATGAAGAAAACAAAAGAGTAACAAAAAATCAGAATTTTAATTAAAAACAAAAGACAAAAAAACTATCGAGCTATTTATATACATATGGTACATTATGACTTCCATTGTTCATTGTTCAATGGATAAAAATCTTTCTTTTTTTTAAAAAAAGTAAAGTAATTGTGCTGTGTGTTGATGTAAGTTATGAGTGATTGAGTTCACCTTTCATTATCTGTTTTACATTCATTATTTGTCACCTTGAATTATGACAATATAGAATAACCAAATTTTCTTTAAAAAAAATATTGAAAGGAGATGTTGATATATATGTAAAACGTTATTGTGAAAATAAAATGATTATTTTGGCTTTTAATTTTTTATTCCCTTGCGTTACAAGTGGAATATCTGGCTTCGAACTGTTGAAGTTGCTGTTTCACTGTGGAGTCAGTTTGCTGGCTTCACACATCTAACCTTATTTGTCTTTAGAGCTCACTATTGGATAATAAAATCGATTGAGTTTTGTAGGCATGTTATATATGTCCAAACCAAGTTCACTTTTAACAGTTTGAAAAAATTTGGGCATTTTATTTTATTTTTTTGATTTATTTTGATTTACAGCTTGATGCCACACCGTATTTTCAGTACAAGTATGGAATTTTCAGCATGGATATCGGCAGCCCAAATTTTGCAGGCCGACCATAGATATCGTGTGTGCTTCGGCAGGGAATCGAACCTCGGACCATGTGCATGGTCGGCGAGAGTCCTAACCACTGTGCCACCGACGCATTAGGTGTATAATATTCATTATAATTAAGGTTTTTGTATTTCTCAATGAATGAAAAATAAAACGATATTGCTGCTTTTACTGACGTTTCGCTATTTAATGCTGCTAATAGCTTTATCAAAGTATTATTAAACCGGAATTTACAAAATCTCAGCATATATATAACAAAGAGTTAAGGGGTGAGAAAATAGACTTAGGTCAAGTTAAAGGGACATATTGAAAGTTAAAATACCAATGAAGATCACCAAACCAAATAACAAAGGTAATAGTACATCTGTTATGATATCAAAACAAAGTTTACTAACTTGATCATCGTTCGTTAGACTGGGGTCATTTTTCGTTGTCAAGCTGGTCAATTGGTAAAGATAACAAAACCAAGTGTGGATTGTTGGATTTGATCAGTGTTTAAAATTATAAAGGCAGTGTGTGTTTACATAGTGAACTTGCTTATCACATTCGTGTTGATTTTGTCACTTCATGGGGGAGGGAGGTGTTGTAACCAGGTCAGATTCTGTTTTAGTCCATCATTCCTATGTAGACAATTTAGATTCCACTTGATATGAAGTGCTTCTGATATTAAACGTTCTTTATGATTCCTGAAGTTTTTGTGGATTATTTCATATTGTCAAAATCAATTTTGTGGCCTGATTCTATAGCATGTAGACCTATGGCTGATGATTTTTCAAGTTTTTCCAGTTCAACTGGATTTCTCGGTGGTCGAACAGATGCTCTACAGTGTTCATTACTTCTGATTTTGATTTCTATCTGGTCAGGTTTGTCCGATGTATATCGCATCACATTCCAAGCAAGCATTTTATTTTATAAACACAATTAGATGGAGAATCTTTAGGGACCTGGTCTTTTATTTGGACAAGGTTGTTTCGTAGTGTGTCTGATGTTTTAAAGAAAACTCTAATGTTGAGCTGATTGAGTACTCTTCTGATATCATCTGACGTCTCTGCTCTGTATGGGATGACGATTGTCGAGGTCCATGCTTTCGGAATGCGTTTTCGGCCATACTTAATGTCTATGTTGATTTTGTTGGTGAAGTTCCATGGGGTAGTTGTTTTGCTTGAGAGTTTCAGTAATGTTTGATATTTCTCCTTCTTTTTGTTTCTCGTCGGTTATCAGAGAGTGTGCTCGTCTAAGAAGACTTGAAACAACTGAAATCTTTGCGCTGATAGGGTGTGATAACTTGAAGTCTAAATATTTATTATAGTGGGTTTTCTTCCTGAATATGGATATACTAAAATGTCCGTTTTCCCTTCTCTTAACTAGGCAGTCTAGAAATGGTAGTTCACCGACGTCTGATTCTGTTTCCGAAGTGAATTGGATTCTGGGAGATACACAGTTTATTTTCTCCAGGAATGAATTGTGTAGATCTCGTTTTAGTACTACAAAAGTATCATCTACATATCTTAATCATATTTTAGGAGTGAGTATGCTTGAAAAGATGTTATTTTCGAATCTATTCATGGAAAGGTCGGCGACTATTGGGGAGACTGGTGAACCCATGTGTCGGTCGAGAATCGAGTCTATACCTTGTTCATAGTTGGTAAGCATCCTACTAATGATGCACAAGAGTTCAGGGTGAAATATTGGGCTCCACAGGTGCGGAGAATTTGTAGTGAAGATAGTGTTGATAATGAATTCAAACAACTAAAAGAAACCTTCACATACAGAACGGGTATCCACTACGCTTCTTAGAGGTCAATATCAAATTACGTGGAAGAAATACAGAGATTGATAAGGTAGCTAAAAAAGTGTTGCACCTAAACTTAGAATTTAGGGGTGACACTGTGAGTGAGATACTTAGAATTCATCTGATGACCTCACTGAGAAAAACGTTCTTTGCAGCCAATTTACGAATAACCTACTCTAGCCGTCCACAGGTTCACTTTCATGTCAAGGAAATGTTACCTCAATTGTCTAATTTCAAGTGTATTTATATGTTCACCTGCTCTTGTGGAGCTAGGTACATGGGAAATTCGTTGAGAAATATATCCCGCCGAGTTCGTGAGCACCTCCCAGTTTGACCGAGGAAAAGAGAACCTAGACGTATTAATTCATTGATATTGCAACTTACTGTAGACACTGACCACGCAGCATCTGAAACATCGTTTAATATAGTCTACAAAGTCCAACAAAGTTTGCCGAAAGGGACATGAGTGCATTTGCTTTGTAAAGCAGAGGCTTTGACAATACATTAAGCCAGAGATCGTACTTCTAGGGATCAGAACTTTGTGTACAAAAACAATTTGTACTGTTTCTTTCGTTACCATGGTGTTGATTTTACTATGTAATTCACATAAAAACTTTGTTATCCTTCTTTATTCCATATTCCATTTTAGTTTTATTTCATTTCAGAACAAGACATATAAGCGGACAATATTGTTGTTTTCAATTTGATCTTCAAGCTTTACTCTATTTCCTTATTAGTTTGTTTATTAGATATATCACACAGTGAAACAGTATTATTTACTGGATGACGTTTCGAACAAAATTTATTGTTCATAATCATATCAACAAAATTATTCATAATAAGGTTTATTCAGGCGGCGATAAGAATAACGAAGGTAGTAATATGTGCATATGTAGACAATTCAGTAAATAAATTAGGTCAAATCTTAAAATGTACGTAATACTAAAGGTGAAATGGACAGATAATCAGAGTCTAAATAAATATCATAAAGGAACGAAGGAAATGGAAAATAGGAAGGGGTGGGAGGGTTTTGATTAGAATTCACCTAGACCAAAGGAGAGACAAAGGTAGAACAAACTTCTTTTGTATCGAAAGTCTAGGATTGTTCTCTCGAATTCCCATAGTTTTGGTTATGTGTAAAAGGTGCGCTCGAATTCCGTTCGAACGGCTCGATGGTATGCGATAGATAACTTTGAAGGCACTATTTCTGTACACTTGGTGACCACTATCAATCAAATGAGCCAAAATAGAACTCTTTACAGATTTTATTTGGCCTTTTCCAAACCATGAAGGAAGATGCTCATTAATGTGTTTGTTAAGCTGTCTAGTTGTTCGCCCTATTTAGCTCTCTACACAGGAGCAACTGAATTTGTTGATACACATAGAAGTGGCACAGCTAGGTAGCTTTTCTTTCGCTTGAGCAATCATAATTGGTCGGCTGGAAAATGACAAATAAAGGGTGGCGGCAGTATAAGTCCGTTTTATTGCTCTCGATAATCTCAGATGTAAGACTTCACTAGCCACATCCCCATTAAATTGCAGTTTCATGAACAGTTGTTTCTTTTTAACTGTTGTCAGTTTCTCTTTACTGTACCTGGTGTTCACGTGTCTCCTTACAAATCTACTAGGATAACCCATCGATCAAAGTTTGACCACGGTAGGAACATCGTCTGGACGTCTTCTTTTTGGATACAAAGTTCCGGTCTAGTCGATCTTATTTCAACAGCTTCAGCTATGTGTAGCAGATGTAAGCGAACTGTACGTGACGGTACATAACCCTGAAAGCTGTGTTCACGTTGATGCTATGTCCTGTATTAAGTGCATAAAAAGCTCGATCCTGTCACACTTGGTCGATACTGGACATAGCATCGACGTCGACACAACTTTCAGGGTTGTGTACCGAATTCCGAAGTCGTTGTCACGTACAGTTCTCTTATGTCTCCTACACATAACTAAAGCTGTTGCACCAAGATCGACTAATCCGAAAGTTTGTATCCACAAAGAACACGCCCAGACACTGTTCCTACCGTAGCCAAACTTGCAGTGATGATTCTTCTTCTCACCAAGAGTCCTCCTTCCCCTGAACCCTCTTGGTTTTTTTCCATTACTTATTATTACAGATATTATTATTATTCGTCATAATTTATGCCCTTCATGCAAACATTCTGTCAATACTGTCGAATTTTCCATTTAAACTGCCCGGACTTATTGTTAGTGATATTATCTCTTTTCTAAATATATGCCAGTATCTGTTTCATTTCATACATTCGTTATTTCCCCATGAACATCTCATTGCAGTCTTACTATCTCCTATTTAATGCATACGACTTTGTACTAGCCAGTCACCTGACACCTTTTGTAACCTTGAACTGACTTGTCAATTTTCCTACCCCACACTCCACAAATCTATTATGACTAATCACCACCATCGTTGTCTCCCATTTTACAATATTTTGTAATCGATTTCAGCCTAGCACGTTTGTCAGACAAACACGACTATTTATTTTGACACCCCATAAAACCAATCTGTTATTCTACGTTAAAAATGTGTCCTTGCTATTTTTAAATCATGGAAAATTCCCATTGTAACATATAGAAAATCAAAACAAATGATTCAGCGAAGAAATTCTTTTCAACGAATTTATTTAAAACAATTAGTTCCCTTTATGAACTTAGATAAAGCAATAAGAAGACGTAATTTT